GTGTGGTATGTGTGTTTGTGTCTGTGCCTATCGAGCATTTTGGAATGATTGAATCGCTGTCCATCAGCTGTATCTCTCTCTCATCACTAAACTATTTCAGGTTAGCAGCACGGTAGCTCCTCCTCCAACGCTGCCCTAGATTGCTGCATCCTACCTTCTCTGCACATCTGCATACGACCCGCTCACAGGCCACGTTCCAGATTTGAAGACCTAGGGGGAATCTGATTGTTGTCTCAGTTTCTAGTTTGTGCATTATGGATTCTACCATGTATGTATATATATATATATATATATATATATATATATATATATATATATATATATATATATATATATACATATATATATATATATATATATATATATATATATATATATATATATACATATATATATATATATATATATATATATATATATATATATATATATATATATATGTATATATATATATATATATATATATATATATATATATATATATATATATATATATATATATGTGTGTATATATATATATATATATATATATATATATATATATATATATATATATGCATGTATATATGTATATCTATATCTAGATAGATAGATATGAGCTTCATATATATATATATGATCTTCATATATGTATGCGTGTGTGTGTGTGTGTGTGTGTGTGTGTGTGTGTGTGTGTGTGTGTGTGTGTGTGTGTGTGTGTGTGTGTGTGTGTGTGTGACTGTGTGTGTGTGTGTGTGTGTGTGTGTGTGTGTGTGTGTGTATGTGTGTGTGTGTGTGTGTGTGTGTGTGTGTGATACATATATACATACATATATATAACATATATAAATATATATATATATATATATATATATATATATATACATATATATGTGTGTGTGTGTGTATGTGTGTGTGTGTGATACACACACACACACACACACGCACACACACACATATATATATATAAATATATATATATATATATAAATATATATATATATATAAATATATATATATATATATAAATATATATATATATATATATATATATATATATATATATATATATATTACAGGCAATATGTGAAACTAGTCATTACATGAAATGACTAAAATATTTAGGCTTTACGTGAAATGACTATGACCACCAGTCATTTCACGTAATGACTCAAATAGCCAGTCATTCCGTGTAATGACTGAAAAATACACACCCTGATTACACCTATTGCCTAAGTATCCCTTTGCAATCAGTGTAGAAGCCTATAATGCCATGTCATCTGTACAGTCAGGTAACAAATAAGCTGGAAGAGGGGAGACTGAGTGCCAGTACAAAGAGTCGCCATGAATACTACCTGCTCACCGAGTAAGTACATGTATAAGGTAACCAACGGGGAGCCATGGATTCGTGAAAAATAAATGTATTATTTCATTGCTGTATTATTGTATTGATTAATGTGTTAAGTGTTGATTGTCATGCACGAATCAACACTTTTGTCGTATGAATCAATGATTTTATAGGAACACACTGTTGTTCTCACATTCCTAACTCATTACTCACCTGTGGCACTGCAGGGGATGAGGACGGCTCACCTCGGAGTGTTCAATACTAATCAAAAGATTAGCTGCTTTTTAATAGTTGTGAAGTTGCCTCCGACGCATACGTTTGTATGTCTTTTTCCGATACCCACAACACACTCTCTAGTTTACCATAGTAATTAACGGATTAACTGTCTATGAAAGCGTTTCCGAAGTTGCCACTGACGCATACATTATATGTCTGCTTCAGATATGAGATACTTCTCTGCGGTGATATAGAAAAACTAATAAAGAAACGAAAGAGCGACGATGAACCGGTCCTGTACTACGTCGCCATCGAGGATACTTACGATGTAACCAAGAGAGCACACATTGCTACAGGTCATGGCGGGCGGGATCGCATGATCAAAGAAACAGCAAAGAAAACACGCTAACATCACACGCGAAGCTCTTGAATTGTTCAAATTGTACTGTGAAGAGTGCCAGAAGAAAAGAAAGTAACCAGTTACAAAGGGTGTGGTTGTTCGACCCATCTTGACAGATGGGTTTTCTTCTTGCGGCCAAGTGGACTTGACTGATATGCAATCGATGGCACAGGGTTCCTACAAATGGATTATGGTCTATCAAGACCACATCACCAAATTTTGTGTCCTGCATCCGCCATCGTCGAAACGTGCAGCAGAAGTGGCGCATCATCTCACTGACATATTACTCTTGTTCGGAGCTCCGTACATATTACAGAGTGATAATGGGTCAGAGTTCGCAGCCAAAGTGATCAGTGAGCTGAAAATCATCTGGTCCAAACTTGTCCTCAATCAATCAGCCAAGGATCCGTGGAAAGAGCAAACGGTGACATTACAGACATGCTGGTTGCATGGATGGGAGAGAACAACACCACGGATTGAAGCATTGGAATCAAGTTTGTCCAATTCCAGAAGAATTCTAGCTTGCATGCAGGTATTTGCAGATCACCTTATGCAGC